CATGCCCGACATAACTCAAGGGCCGATTCTCCACCGAGCGCAGGCGACCCCCTCGCCTCGCTCGGAGACGTGGGGGCAGGCAGCCGGAAGGGGGCCTCCAGCGAGGAGGTGTGCCTCGCGGAGGTATGCCTCGCGGGAGGGTCGGTCAGACCGCGTCCGCGGAGATTTGGTATCGCTCGGACATGTGTATTTTCTCCCGGCGAGGGCCATCTAGGAGCATCTTGGACCAACCTGCGAACCACACACGCGCGAAGTCGAATAATGAACGGGGAATGGATGTCCGAGCGACGGCGAGAGAGAGGGGCTGCGCTGATCTGATCTGGTCGCCTCCGTCGTCGCCGTAATCGTCGATTGCTCGCCGCCGTCGTCGTCGGTCGCCGTCGCCGCCGCCGTCATCGCCGACGTCGGTCGCCGCCGTCGGCCGCCGCCGCCGCCGTCACCGCCGCCGTCGTCGTCTGCGTCGTCGTCGTCGAGTCGTCTTCCTCGTTGTCGTCGTCGTCGTCGTCGTCGTCGTCGTCGTCGTCGTCGTCGTCTTCCTCGTCGTCGTCGTCGTCGTCGTCGTCGTCGTCATCGTCGTCGTCGTCGTCGTCGTCGTCGTCACCCCGTCTGCGGTTGAGGGGCCGTGCTGATCGCGGGCCCCATGCCCGCCTTCGGCGGCGCGGTGGGCATGAGCCTGGGCGAGGAGCGGCTCGTGGTCGGCGGCAGCTTCCAGGCGCGCCGCGAGCGCTGGTGCACCCCCGGGATCGGGCCGGAGATCACGAGCAGCGTTCGCCGGCGGCAAGCCCAGGGGAGAGGTGAGAAGGAGAAGGCCTTTTCAGAAGGCTCGGATGGTCTCCAGCCTGCCGATGGGTTTCCTGAGCCTTCCCCGAGGACACAAACAGCTCTTCACGAGGCCCGAGGGCTTCTGAGAGGCCCCGGACGGTTTGTTGCTCGTGGGCAGTTTGGCCCCTCCCGCTGCCCCCCTCCCCTGGGTCTTTGGGGGAACGGGCCGCGAGGGGTCTTGAGGGGTACGGAAAACCCTCTGACCCATCGAGGCCCGCTCCCTCGGCGGGAGGGCACGCACCACTGATATGACCAGGGTTGAGAGGCCCATGTTGGCCTCCCCGGGGGGGGCATCCTAATTGAGTGCCCCCTCCCCCCTCTTTGATCGATCTCTTCCAAGATGGCCCCAAAATGGCCCTCCAAGCTTCCGTAGCCATTTTGGCTCAAGGAAGTCTCGACCTGGTCCAAGCTCGCTCGAGCGCTCACCCGCGTGTCTGCGCTTCGTCACTTTTTCGCTCCAGCAATGGCCCTGCGTCGCTTCAACCAGGGTGGCAAGAAGCAGAAAGAATTGTCGGAAGAGCAAAAGCAGGAAATCAAGGAGGCGTTCGATCTGTTTGACACGGACGGTTCTGGTGAGATCGATTCCAAGGAGCTCAAGGTGGCCATGCGTGCTCTGGGTTTTGAGCCCAAAAAGGAAGAGATCCAGAAGATGATCTCCGATGTGGATGACGACGGCAGCGGCACAATCGGGTACGAAGAGTTTTTGAAGATGATGACGCACAAGATTTTGAATCGCGACCCCAAGGACGAGATCCTGAAGGCCTTCAGGCTCTTCGACGACGACGAGACCGGAAAAATCTCGTTCAAAACCTGAAGCGCGTTGCGAAGGAGCTGGGGGAGAGGATGACGGACGAGGAGCTGCAGGAGATGATCGACGAGGCTGACAGGGATGGCGACGGTGAGGTGAACGAGGAGGAGTTCTTCCGCATCATGAAGAAGACCAACCTGTTCTGATCATGCCTCCGTATGCGCGCCGCCAATCGACGACGACGACGGCGACGACGACGACGACGCGGGTCTGGTTGCCGTCGCCTGGCCACCGCCTCGGCGCGGAGCCGCCGCGACGGCGCGACTGCCTCGGCACCCGCGGAGCCCTCTCCCTGGGCGTGCGCCTCCGCACGCCGCTCCCTGGTGCAGCGCGGCTCCGTTTGACCGGCTGCACACCGCTCCCGAACAAATAAAAAAAAGGCCCTCCAGGCTCCCAAGAGTGCCCCAGGAGAGCTCCAAGACGCGCCCAGAAGGCCCCTAAGAGGACCCACGATGTTCCCAACAAGCTCCCAAGAGACCCCAAGATGCCCCAAGAGGTTCCCCGAGGCACCCAAGACGCTCCAAGAGAGACCCCCGGGACCGCCAAGAAGCTTCCAAAGCGCCCCGAGAAAAAAAACAATCCATGTCAGAGACATCCAAAGAGACTCCGAGAGGCATCCAAGAGGCCTCTGCTTGTTTGCTCGTCATGCTATTCCTTGTTATCCTTTTCCTCCGCGTGTTCCTCCTTGATCTCCCCCATCCCCTTCCTCCTCTGACTCTTCAGTCCTCCCCCGTTTGGGGTACGACGGCTACCCCAGCCCTTTACGCACTGTGTGCTCATTCACATAAATGGTACGGGCAACTCGCTTGGACATCGTTTCTGGATGGGCTGGTGGTTTTTTTGTTGATCGCGAGCGCAAGCGGAGAGGCCGCGCGCCGTCCAGAGCTGCCGCTACCGAGGGACCTTCGCGAAACAATCACCCTGGGCGAGCAGTCATGACGCAATTGGGTCCCAGGCCTGCGCGTGAGGGTCGGCCTCCCCGCTGAGATCCCCAGCGGCAGATAATTTGTTGGTTTCATCGCCACCCCGCTGCAGCTGCATGCTTTTTCTGTACCGTCATCCGAGCAAAGATATAAACATAAGATCTCGGAGGTCCGCGCGGATTTCTAGGATCGGCGCTGGACCCCCCTGACGGCGCCCCGCGCGCCAGGGAGCAGTGTCCAGCGCCGATCCGCAAAATCCGCGCGGACATCCGAGTTTTCATGTTTATGCCATTGCTCGTTCCCCTAATCCCCTGGCATCGCTCGGACGTGTGCATTTTTTTCGGCGACAGCCATCGAGGAGCATCCTTGATCATTTGGCGAAAAAACCACGCACGAAACCGAAAAAACACAGAGAATGGACGTCCGAGCGATGGCGAGAACCTGCACCATCGGCGCACGGCTGTCCTTCCAGGGCCGCCCGCCAGTGGGAGAACACGCAGGCGGCCGCGCGTCGCGGCCTGGGCCGGGCAGCTGCCCTCCCTTTTGGTGGGCGGCCTACGCACCGCGCAGGTGCGACGCGCGAGATCGGGAGGCCCACCTGTCCTCCTCCTCCTCCTCCTCCTCCTCCTCCTCCTCCTCCTCCTCCTCCTCCTCCTCCTCCTGTGTCGACAGTGCGGGCTCTCGCGCGCACCGCGGCGTGAGGTCGCCGCCGTGTCTTCTCGCGCCAGATCCGCCTCGTTGCGTCGCTCAGCTGGCTCTTCCCGCCCATCCTCGTCGACTCTCCTCCTCGGGCCCCTCCGCTGCTCAGCCTGACTGTCCGCTCGCCGTTCGTCACATCCTCTAGTTCGCCCTCCCTCCACTTTCCAGTCCCCCCCCTGCTACGGCTGCTGCTTCTCATGCTCTTCCTGTTTGGCATTGCTATCTCTCTCTCTCTCTCTCTTTAATGGTTCTCTTCTGGTCCTCCGCCCTCCATCCCTCCTCCTCCCTCCACCTCCTGTCTCATGGTACTTCGCCATCCTCCGCAGTATCGGTCGTCCTCCCCCAACACTCCTCTTCCCTATCCGTCTCCTCTCCGTCGTCGTTGCCGTCGTCCTGATTCTCGTCCGTCCTCCCCCTTCTCATGGTCCGCCCTCTTCCCCGGTTGTCCTTTGTCGTTATCCTAAGCATCTTGAGGGGGCGTCTGGGGCCTCTGGGGGAGCCTCTCAGATGCTTCTTGTAGGCCTCGTGGGCGCTTCGGGAGGGTTCTCGAGGCAGCATCGGGGATCTCGGGCTGCTCTGGAGGGGAAGGCTCTCAATACCCTTTCGCTGTCTCTCTCCTGGGCCCGTCATGGGGCCCTCTTGGGGGCCTCTGTTGGCGCGCTTGGGCCGCCTCCGGGCGCTTTTCGGCCTTTGGGGGGCGATCTTTGGGACCTCTCGCGCAGTCTTTGGGGGCTCTGAAGCTCGAATGCGCGAGGGCACCAATTTCCTTCGAACAACCTGAGAAACGCCAATGAGTTTGGCATCCTGGACTCTTCTTGGAGGTCGTGTCGGGGCCGTCTTGAGACGTCTCTGCGTCCTCCTGGGCCATCTGGAGGGCATCTTCGGGGTCTTACGGCGCTCTTCAACCAGCTAGGGAGTTCTTTTGGGACCCTCTTGGCTCGTCTTGTCGCTCTCTCGCCACTGGCGAAGTTACCCCGAGAAGCCCAGAGAAGGACCATGACATCCGTTACTGAGAGTTTGGTCTATACAGAGGACCTTAATGGACCTGAAGACACTGCACTCAGCGACTACGGCGTAATGGCCGAAACAATAAGTAATATCAGGGATGCAGCAGACGGAGAAGGAGGAGCAGGAGCAGGAGGAGGAGGAGGAGACGGAAAAGGAGGAGACGAAGGAGGAGGAGGCGGAGGAGGAGGAGACGGAGTAGGAGGAGACGGAGGAGGAGGAGGAGGAGGAGGAGGAGGAGGAGGAGGAGGAGGAGGACGAGGACGAAGTTGAGGGGGTGGAGGAGGAGGAGGTGGAGGACGTGCACTAGAAGATGGGGTGGAAGAGGTATAGAGGGTGGAGCAATCGAAGGGGTTCTAAGTGGGGGACGTGGCAGATGAGGAGGGATGGATACAGAGCAGAGTGAGGAGGAGATGCGGGGTAAGATAAGTTTGGGAGAAGGGAGGACGCGGCGGGGCAGAGGAGAACCGCGGATGTAGTGAAGGAGCTTGAGTCAGAATGGGGCGGTGTATGAAGGGGTGAAGAGGAGGGCCATCGGCCATGGGCCATGGAGAGGTAGAGGAGAACCTGGAAGAGGAGGAGAAGAAGGCCATGGCTATCCTCATCGCTCCTATCCGTTTGAGATGGCGCTCCGCAGCGATCTTTGGGACCACGCCGTTCCGGCTCGAGCTGTCCCGGTCGCCCCGGAAGCCAGGCCGAGCTCGCCGAGGAAGCCGCCCCCCCCCCCGCGGCCTTGAGAACCG